TGACTTATCTGAACGACTGTTATCCTGAGGTATGTGCTACATCCCAACTTCGCTGGCTGTATCCATAGTTAGACTGCCCCATTATGTCAAGCTAACCCAGAATGACCAGATCCTTGGGGATGCGCTCATTGCCGTCGTCTTCGTCCGGAATGGTCTTGCGATGGTCATCAGGTTCTCCTTCACTAGCTGGCTCGCCGGAATGGGTATCCAACACACCTTTATCCTCATTGGGGTGATTGCCTTTGCTACCATGACAATGCCTATTCTATTGTTGCTGTATGGAAAAAAGGCAAGAGTTGGAACAGCCGCCAAATACCGGAAGTTTGCTTCGCGTCACCAAGTTAGAAGGTCGGTTCAATGAGATATATGCTGCTAAGTAGGTTGGTTGTTGATTGATTCACACCAAATTAACGGAAAGCGATTAAATACAATCTACGTCTGAAAATGCAACTCATGCCACGTATTCAGACTGCGCGCCTGCATGCTCAGTTCTAACACGTCCCTTGCCCACCTACTAATGTCGCCTACAAAGCGGCGTACAATACCTACTGCAACCCCTTTTCTGGTAAATGAATGCTGGATCTTGGTCCTCATAGATTTGTCCCACCTCCAGAACTTTGGTCAGCGTTACATCGCAAGCTAGCTGAAATTAAGCCTTTAAAATTTCGCTGATGAAATTTGTCTCTTGTCACGTTGCTTTGGTAGCTTAAAGCTTTAGTGCATCTTACTGCAACCAGCCTAGCACCAGATGGCTAGCCCCAGATTTCATAAGAAAATCGACTACCCCTTATACTACTCCCTGTTCTTGGATAAAGAACCCCCTTTCCGCCAAGCCTTTCAAGGTAAATAAATGTTCATGTGCTGCGGCGAGAAATATACAAAACGATACCGGTTTTATAAAAGTCCCCAGTCCGTTGCAATTTATCGTTCGTCAACATTTCTCTCTTCAAATGGTGTATTTACACCATATTTTTGCCCCGTTAACCACGTCTTCTTTCTGTTGCCCGCAATTACCGTCCGCGTTTCTATATGTATTCCTAATATTGATTGACCATTCCAGATCCCACATTCTATGTCGCAAGACCCTCCCGTTCTTAGCATCATATTCGACCTCAGGACCCATGGCGTGGTTCCCAGACATGCTATTAATTGCTCCCGGGAGTCAAAACCATAGTTCCCAGAGCCGTTTGATTATCTTTGCATATGACGTAGACAGTAAATTTGAACCATATTCACACGAAGCCAACAAAATAACTCATTCATTGATGATTGAAAACCATTGAACCCATCACAGCGAGGTCTAGGTTGGATTGCTGCTAAAGTGTGACAAAAAGCATGGGGAATTCTCTTATATAAACCACAGCATTGTGACCATTCATACCTCCCTCTGCCTTTATGGGTAATGGCTGTGGCTCCAAATTTTGAGGGCGGGGATTCGCTCCGAAATTCAATGGCAGCTTAAGTATATATCGTACGAAAATTAATCGCAAATGATAGAACTAAACCATATGGTTCTTACTCACCTTTTATCTTACGGTATTAAGTATCTTGCTAGATCGTTAGGAGTCTCCCTTCGATTGGTATAGTATTAATGTGAGGTATACGATACGCAGAAACACTCTTACCTTACTCTCCCTTTATGCCTATCGCATACTATATTCTGGCTTTTAGCCTTCTGGAATACTCTTAGTTCGAGATTTACTAGGGCTATATAAGCTTATAGACAAAATGGGACTGTATCTATCTACTTATAAAGCTACACGTTATTCGTGATATAGTATAATATATAGCTAGTCGCTTATCATATCTTAAATGACTAAAAAGAAGCTAAAAAGGCCTAATAGTTTATAATATTATCATATAAGGGCCTTTTCCTAGATACCTGTTATCGCTTATGTATACAGCATTTACTATAAGGGTAGATTACCGTTTAGGACGTCGCTAGGCAATGATAAGTAGACCCTATAATCTATATAATATTACTATCGCTATATCTAGCCATAATTTAGGTCGGAAAATACTAGCATGTATAATAGGCCGCCTATCCTAACTCGGTAGTTCTTGAAGGTCTGAGCAGAATTCCTCCTATCTCGACTCGGCATTATTCTAAACAATACGCTCTATCCTATACGAAGTATATACATGGCTAAATATATACAGTAATAGTCGGACTTTCTATAACTCTTGAAGTAACCAGGGGCATCCTTCTCGAGACTCGTAATACTAGTCCCGGTAAAACTTAGGCGGCGTATGTGTAACCAGAATATCAGTGGACTCAGGAATCTTACCAGCCTACGGATTATAACTCACTGGATACTAGAAGGTATTCTCAGTATTAGGGCTACACTTAGGGACAAATAGTGCGCTATATATGTTGATATATCTTTGGATAGTAGAAGAGATACCGGAACAATCAACAGTCACAGAAGTTCCCTAGAGGCAATGTATCTCGCCCTAATCGAATAGTATATCGAGTTAATTTAGTAGGCTCTTTTTTCCTTCGCTGCCGGAAGAGAGACCAACTGTCGATATGTCCTCTAGCAATCGAGAGGGAGTATTAAAGAAACGATTACTATTTCCAGCCACAACCACTTTATGTTTATGCGGAAGTGACTTGAGCTAGTCGATGGTTTCTTATATCTCCGTTGTACTTCCGTTCAGGCTCAGATCACCTATATGTATTAGCAGTTCGCCATATAGAATATCACACCGCTACGAATAAGTATCAGCGAGGTAAATAATATGGGTTTGGCGTCCTTTAGGGATACCCAAAGAGATAAGGCTCCAGCTCAGGTGCCTCAACAAGGTATAGCCATTGTAGGTGATGATCTTGAGCCATAAATATATGAATGAGTTTGAGTCCATGCTGTTTGGCCTAATGAGTAGATGCCTCGATCTAGAACGGGAAGTGTTTCAGGTTAACAAAAACCCTTAAGAAAACTGTACGCTAGGCAACATTCGATAACGCGGCCTATGGTTTCTTTCCCTTGTATTGCTAGCGGAAGTTAGCTGTGGATAACTACTGCAGTATTATAGAGAACTTATAGTACTCGAAACGAGAAATTCGAGGTGGCGGAGGGGGGACAAGGGGACTTTATAGAACCACGCACGGCGGCGTGGAGGGACAGTAGACGGTAAACCCGAAAAGGCCAGCGCTAGGCCTAATAACGTAATTCGCGGAAAGAATTACAACCATCCGATATCGTGTAATCCAGGGGGACAGCGGAAAGACCACGGTTATGCATGGTTTTATGGGAGATACCCGTGGTGATTCCGGATTTATATATCTTATTAGGACTAGTGCCATATATCCAACTTGGTTTAGCGTATGATTGTCCTGATCTTACTATATGTCTATTATTAGACCTGGCAGTGACCCTCCGGTTGGCCATGATCTTGGACCCTCCACCCGACCCTGACCCTGACCCTGACTCTCCAAGGGTCGCTCGCGGGTGACCCTCTACGACCCGCAGCGACCCTAAGTCATAATCAGTACCAAAAGCAGAAGGAGGAAAGCTTGGTGATTGACTAAATTGACGGTAAGGAGCAGGTTGATCGGTCGATTGGTAAAGAAAGACTGCTAAAAGAGCGCTTCAAGCTCCATTGCCGCTAGATACATGAAGCCTTGTAACTCTGTTAAAACTTCGAAAGCTCCGAGGCATTGCTGGAAGTTGTGGAGAACTGGTCTCTGGGGGTGCAGCATTCAGCCTTGTTCAAATAAAACCATGTATTCACCGTACTCCAGGCGGCGTGGCATGGTGGTTCATTCTCGTTTTAGTAATGTCCCCGGGAGTGGAGTTATAGCCTATACAAGAGGGCAGGGGTGCGTTGAGAATAATGTGTCGTGTGTGTGTTGGTTAGAGCTAGCCTGACTCGGAGAAGTCCTGGAACAGCGCGGTAGCTCTTCGAGAGCGTGGATATGATATACTGTAGACAGGATGGCACGCCACGCACGCATATTCAGTCAGCTCCTGTGCGCATGACGGGCTTCGTTTGTTGTTGAAGGGCGGATTAATTGGTTGTTTCGGAAATAAGAGTACCATTATTCAGGCCATCGCGTTAGCATGTCACTTGCTCGCCATAGGAATAATGGGTTAAAAGGGAATTGCATGTGGGTTTATCCTAGCTTCCCTCAAAAGGCATGTACCTTGGAGAGGTACTGGTCACCAGCACTGCGCAGAAGTGCAAACCCATCGCTGGTGCACCACCCCCGAGAGGGCGGTGCCCAAGGAGGCGCAAGCACCTCCTTGGGATGTCTGTGGAGGAAACAAGGTGTGATCAAAGTAAGAAGAGTGGTTGGTTTCCTTCGCCCTTAGTTCGACCACACTAGCAAAGGAAAGCAAAAGCAAGCCGAAACAAGCAAAAGCCCACCAAAGCGAATACAACCACAGCCACCACTACCAATTAAGTCTCGTCATCACCCTGACGAGCAGGATAAGAAGCCTGACAAGCAGGATTAGAGACTTCCCCCCCATTGGCAGTGAGGCAATCAATCTGCTTCTGCTGCGCATCCTGAGATACGAGTATCCTCTCTAGTTCTTGCCTCACGGATTCGATATCAGCAGTCATATCCTGGTGGAGACGACTGCATCTATCAGAGGTAGAGCTCTCAAGGTCAGAAGCGGCGGGGGTGGATTTTTTGGAGCGCGCATCTAGAACATTGGCCATAAGAACCGTGGCAATGGCTCCGAGTATAGGCCCGAGCCAAGTACCGATGGCCGTGGCAAGCTCAACTCGAGCGTCACTCCGACAATTTGGGTCCGACATAAATGTATTGTTAACAAGGATTACACAAGTGTGTGGTCAACAAGTTTCAGATAATGCGGGCAAAGAAGAAAGAAAGAAAGAAAGAAAAGGGAGAGTGGAGGGGGGCCTTTTCATGGGAGTTGGCTTTCCCGATTGAGAAATATCACAACAGGGAAGGAACGAACGCGGGTGAGCTTCATAGTGATGATATTCTTGGGAACTAAACAAACATTGGACACCCTAACTTGCTTTTCTCAGAGAATGATACAGCGGGAAGGACTTGTCTTTGCTTCTGCTTGTCCGTGCAATATGTAGATTCCACCGTGCACTGGAGTCATCACTGTTTGATATGTCTTCCCTTCTAGCAAAGAGACATTCCGGTAATACATCTTATCCTCGGACAGAGCATTTGGAGACCTAGCCTGAATAGAGTCCCTCTCGAACCGTAGGCGAGAGTCCACTATTTCGTGTTTTGCTGAAAACGACTTAGGTACATTATCAAGACGATACTTCCATTGAGGATCTTCTATACTTAGACCCGGTCCTAGGTCCATCCATAGGGTAAGAGTGAGGCTTGCATGAGTTTCATCCAGGGTTCGAATCTCCAACTGCCAAGAGGTATTACATTTATCACAACTCCCTTGGTCGGCTAGGACTTTGGGGCTTGTGGTAGAGCAATAACGCCTAATTTGAGAGGCCAGGATGTCGCTGAAGCCCGGGTCAAAAGTGTGGATATGCTTGCAGACTTTCATAGGACCGTTTTCGCGGCATGGCCACATCCGTGGTATATTTTGTCGTGTTACTACCGCTATATCTTGCGTCCGCATACATAGAGCCGGGGGCGTAGAGCAAATTCGAGCTTCAGCAGAGAATAGCGTCATCATAATATCTTTTTGGGTATCTCCTTCTGATGCCTTGTTGGTAGGGGGCTGTAGTAAGGGCGGGCCATTGGATCTGAATCGGTTCGCTTTGATCTCTGTGTAGAGCAATGACTCAACGGGGATTCCGAACTCCGGTCCATAGTAAAACCTTCTCATAGCAAGCTGTAGATGCACGAAGTGGAATTTGTAAAAGGTATATGATGGGTGGTGAGCGAGGGGTAGATGTCTTATAAGGTACCAATTGGTATAATCTAAGGCATCTGTGCGGTGGTTGACCATGGGATGATAGTAGCTTGGCAGCCCAGCCTTTTTCCACAAATGAAGTCGAAGGCAAATAAAGCAGAGATGGTACTGCGGTAGGTCGCAAGAAAGCCGAGATAACAGCTCGATACGTGCGTCATCCGTGGGGTTTCCGGTGCGGCAGTTTGAGAAGTTCTTAAAAGCAGTCGCAGCAAATGAACGCAGCAGATGACGATTCCCCAAGGCGAGACAAGCAAGGTCAACTGGTGATAAGTACTCAGAGATCATGCATAATAGCTCAAGTGGGAGGTCGGTTAAGGCTGTTGGGTTTCGCATGGTGGTCAACTTGGTTGCCAAGGGTATCTACCCCAAGCTATCGCTTCACTTGATATCCGAGATGTCAAACAGTCGCTTGGTATTAAAACCGATGGAGGTAAAAGAAGCAAAGGTGACCACTGGTCCTGTCCCGATGGGAAAAGAATGTTGAGTGCAGAAGGAGAAGGGAGGAGAAAGAGAGAGAGAAGAGTAAGGATCCAAGTCAAACGATAGTTACCGCTCTCAGAGGCGACGGTTTCAACGTGGCATTGAAACGATTATCCCGTTTGACCCCTGACGTCAAATCACATTGTCTATCCATGAATATTCCATGAGGAAAGGTGTATGACGGGGCCGGATGGGATGGCCCAGTTTTGGCCTGATTCATGCCTTATTGCTTGTTATTTGGCGGGCAGAAAATGAAGATGCTACCTGAATTACCGTTACAACTCGAATAAGCAATGTACCCTCCTGGTGTCATTTCCTCAAGTCATATCCTGAAACTTTTGTCCAATTTGCATATTATCTTTTCTCTAGCCTGATGCCTGTTCTGTTCTATGCCAATATCGCCTTGGAAATCAGGAGTATCCGTGTAATTGTGACTGATTTCAGGGAGACCAAGCTGGTATTGACCTCCGTTTTGGAGGTTGATCTTTGAAGGCAATATAAGTCGCGGGCTCTGGGGTATTTTCTTTCAGGGTATTTTGTAGGGTTTAGCACAGGAATAGACGGTTTGGGGTTTCAAAAATTTTATTTAGAGCCTCATGTCACAATACGCCGTATTAGGCGGTGTATATCCCGGTGTTGAATCCGTCTTTAGTCATTATTTACCGCTCAGATTGTCAGAAAAGCGTCATTTTTAGAGATAGAGAATTCATCCATTTGAACTTGCTACATAATGCGACATAGACTGTTACTTTCAGCACTGTTTCAGGTCCTAGGCTTAGATCCTTCCTTGGTCCTTCGGATCGCGAATGCAATCACGAGACAAGGCATCATATGTTGCTTGGTCACTTATTGAAAAGCTACAGGAATGTTGATATTCCGGATTGTCCTAATATAGACTGGTTTATCTTGGCATTAGGATTGGAGAATCAAGTGTAGGTGGCCACACCATTATCTGGACGTACTGTATTGTCCCTGTCGAGTGGTCGACATTGCTTGGAACAGCTATTAAGACGTGGGAAGAGCTATTTTGGAGCGTATACAGTATACACTTTAATTCGACTTGATTATAGTAGTCCCTTCTATACCTATTTTCGTTTACATCACTCATGTTTCAATCACGATCCAGGTAAGTTACAGACTTGGGACACCAACACGTTCGTCGAGCAATAACCCAGATCAGCCACGCTCCCGACTGACTGGCATCTTTGATAAATTGATAAATTTATTTTTGTGGCGTTATTTATGAAGATCCTGATAATACCACAACGGCGAGCGCTATCAGCCAGTGTCAACAAGGCTCTCGCGCGGTGTGTCGGCCGTAAGACAGATTTATAGTCCCGCTATATAGGGATAATTGTCCTAAAATGGCGTAATCCATCATACCATCCGATATGGTGTAGTGGCTAACATCGCCGTCTCTCACACGGCAGCCGGGGGTTCGATTCCCCCTATCGGAGTTTTCTTTTTTGTCTTTTTTTCATTTTTTTAATGGTTTATATATACTCTCAGAAACTACTCTGTTCCATCCCGAAGCGTAGTTGATGCTGCTGTCTTTCCATAGAGTCAGGAGTCAAGATGTTACGGAAAGCTGTCACGAAAATTAGTATCACATAGCAATGGGCCGAGCACCACGTTTGTAAAAGTGTGTTAACCAGGGATCTCACGGTTGAAAACTTTCTGTTTGCATCATGTTTTTCGATCTTATTTGGTCTACAATGAAACTGCGGAATTATCTACGCAAGGTGATGTCATGCTATTCCAAGTGGCATCGGCGCGAATGCCAACTGAAAGGTCCATAGATCGGTAATATAGGCTACAGCAGAACAGAGGATTGCTTTCAAAGTTAGCGTTGCGGTGTTACGAAGCAGATAGCTAATACAAAGGTAAGACCTGTACGAACCACCTAGGCGATGGCTTGCACTCTAGGGTTATTTTATGCAAATTGCGGGGTGGGATTGCCGGAAAATAAATGTGAAGTAAGAGTATCGGAGGAATAGGGCCAAATAAATGAGGCCCTACGGTTCCGAGTCCTACGTTACAGATTGTGGAGGCAACTATATAGTTACATTGGGTAGCCTAGCCCTGCGTGTGCAACTCCCAATGTGGAAGGTTTACATCCAACCAGAATTCGAAATGTCAGTTACTTTAAAAGGATGGTCGAGAAGCCCCCCACTGCATATACCCTGAGATTGAAATAATAACAGGGATATTCGTTTCATCGGCTTAAATTCGACATCGGGATCAACCGTGAAATCAACTATCGAGCCAAGAAGGATTGGGAACACCGTTCTGAGATTTACTTCACATATACGAGATAGATCTGATTGACGACAAAAGAGCCATGGAAGTGCATTTTTCTTTAACCGGGAAACGCCCGCTTCATCAACATAGCTGATTCCATCTGTTGAGGAATGGCTTGTTATAAAAAGCCACTATAGTGCGGACTATTTCTACCTTCACCTAACCTTTCATCCCATCGATCCGAAAAATAAAACATTTCTAAAACTTTATATCTTCAACCTAATATCTAAATAACTATGAAGGTCTTTGTGGCAATCCCTACTGTTTTGGTCTTCGTCGGCCTTTCAATTTGCCAGAACACATGCACCGCAGACGATGTTCTCAACTCACTAAATGCAGTCGAGCATTACGCAGACAAGATGCAGTCCGTAACTGATTCTTCAAGTGATAACATTGATCCTTCAGCGGTGAGTTTGAATCTACATTTAGTCCCGTATCTTCTTCATAAGGGCTCTGAACTAACTAGGCTCTAATCCAGCCCATCTTCAAGAACTTCGAAAGCCAAACCAAGCATTTCAATGAGGATTTGCAGTGCACTTTTAATACGACCCCGGTGGAGCAGACCGCTATCTGCAGCGCCTATGAAAAGGTTAGTTGAACTCTGACCTTCTGTGTGGGCCATCGCCTTAACATATTTTCCCTTTCTACACATTCAGTTTGCGATGTCCCAGCTGGGTTACCTCCACGTGGCCGATGGACGCGCTTTCTACGAGAAAAATGGACACGGTGATAATGCTGTCAAGATGCATGGGTATATCTTGCAGTCGCAGCACGCTTTGGAGGTAATAAATAAATAAATATTTCTCGGTTATGCTCTAACAAGCAATACAGAACTACACAATTCAAGCCAAAGCAGCAGCTGCATCGTGTGTGGACCGCATCGAAACAGCTTATACACCGCTGGGTAGGCAGCTTAAAAGGCTGCTAGAGGCTTACCCCGGAACGGCTTAGTCGAGTAGAAGGGAAAGAAACGAGATTTGAGGTTTGATGAATTGGTGTTCCAGAATGTCTTCGCTAGTGGGCAGATGTTGAACTCTGTGTTAATCTAGTTGTATTATTTGGAGTAATAGTTTGAAGAGGTGGTTTCATTGATCGAAAGTTTTTACTTGATTGTGGTCTCACTGCCAACACGGTAGCCTGGAGCTTAAGCGTCGAATGCAGCTCCATAGCCCATAACCCACGATTATAGTGGCCAGACGAAATCTAACATTGCCGTAAAATAACGAGAAGGGAAGATAGAGTATGCCACGAGAGAAACAGTAAATATATATTGGGTATGGCAATAGGCAGTAATGGAACAGGAGGTATCATAAGAAAACAAAATAATAGCAAAACTAGAAGAACAACCACTGCCCAAACTGTTGAGCTTTACCCCAAGCACCCGCCTTCTTCTCCGTAACCAGACCCTCAGGCCCATCCTCTTGAGAAGGATCATAGCGATCCGTCCTTAAATCCATATTAGACTTCCTCACAAAGCTAGTTCTCTTGATCAGTTTCCAAGCCAGGAACATGAAAATCATGACCGGAATTTCAATATAAAACGAGACAAAATCGACCCTCTTGAAATGCGGACTGAAGCACTTCCACCCTTGAACAAGAACAAGAACAATATTAAGCCCAACAGCAAAGATCGGACCATACGGATAAGTCCAGTTCTTGAAAGGAAGAAGATGCTCAATACCCTGAGCCCGGATCGCCGAGCGGAATCGCAGAGAAGCAAGACCGATACAAATCCACGAGAGCTGGTTTGAGACACCGACGATATTCTGCAGCCAAGACCACAACTGTCCAGCGCCGATGTAGCTGGCACCGAAGCAGAGACCGCTGATCACGGATGTCGCGAGGACAGCCACCCACGGAACATGGAAACGGTTGAGCTGACCGAAGAACTTGGGCGCATACCCATCGACAGCGAGAGTGAATAGAAGCCGAGATCCGGCAAAGAGGGCATGGTTTGCAGCTGAGATGACGGAAGTCATGATGACGGCGTTAATGAAGCTCCCAGCAACTGCGGAACCGGCTTGCTGGAAGACGATTGTGAAGGGGCTGGTCTTTGTGTCACCATCTGAGAGACCGGGGTAGTCATATGGTACATTGAGGCCGACGATGAGGATTGAGAGGAGGTAGAAAAGAAGAATACGCCAGAAGACGTTGCGGACGACTTTTGGCATTGTTTTTGCGGGGCTTTTGGTTTCACCAGCTGTGATGGCGATGGATTCGGTACCGCCGCTGTTTTATTGTTAGCATGAAGCTTATTTAACAGATGCAATGATGAGATGGGGTTACATACTATGCGAAGGAGGCTGTGACGAATACCGATGCAAAGCCGCCGATTCCACCGACGAAGGGTGCATCGCCTTTATGCCAATTTTTGCCGCCGATGTATTCGTGGGTTGTATTTCCACCACAGTTCACAGCAATACCAAGGATGATGAAGATCTAGTAAGCGAATTAGCTAGGCGTGCGAATATTTTATAAGAGATGACACTCACAACAATGGTGATGACTTTGAGCAAACTCAACCAATATTCAACCTAGATAGGAACGGTCAGATCAAATGCAATAGAGTGGAAGTCATCTATACATACCTCGCCATAAACCTTCACAGATAAGATGTTCAATGCAATGACAACAACCAAAAAGATTAGACTGATTGCCCAACCGGGGAAATTATCAGTCCAATACTGCAACAAAAGCTGCAAAGCGATGATGTCTGATGCAGTAGAAACAGCATCATTAAACCAATAATTCCAAGTCAATGCAAATCCAAGCGCATCATCGACGAAGCGACTATAAAACAAGTCAGTGACTATCTGCTCAAAAAAGCTCAAGTAATACTCACCCAGCATAAGTACAGAAAGACCCAGCAACAGGCATAAAAGCCGCCATCTCACCGAGACACAGCATAGTTATAAACACAATACCACCACAAATAGCGTATGCAATAAGTGTTGAAGCAGGCCCACCCTTAGCGAGCGACGATCCCGTTCCGAGGAACAGACCGGTGCCGATAGTACCGCCAATCGCGATCATCTGCACCTGGCGCCCAGACAAGCGGCGAGCCAGCTTGTCTGCATTGACAAATGGGTTTGTCTGGTAATCATCGCCTGTTGTGCCTAGGGCCTTGGAGGGCTCTGCTCCCGGCTGTTTCTCGATATCGGCCATGATGCGGAGATCGAGATGGATACGAAAGTATCCTCTAACCTTGTGTTAATACAATAATATATCATGGATCCATATATATATATATAAGGCCAGATCATGTGCAATGTCACCACTCACCTGTTCCTGGTATGTACTGAGATGTTTCAGCCCTAAGTCGCGTGACCCACACGTGATAACTCGTTGCACCCAAATTAAATTTGATACATGGACCCTGAACAGTCAAAATAAAGATACAACATAGACACAAAGAAGGAAAAAAAAGCTCAAAAGAAAACTTTTATTCCCCGATGGCGTGATTGAAGCCATCTATGAGTGGACGGGGGCCGAGCCGTGCGAATGCGACGTTGATGTGTCAAGAAAAACTCTCAAGTCTCCGCTCCCCACATGCCAATTTGGGGTTGGAGTGCCGATTTTATGGTTTGATAGGTGCACATGTGGTTTTGATGCATGGCTTTTAGAGCTTATTTAGACATCTATACTCTATCCCACGTGTAAAATGCTATATGCTATACATGTCTGAAAATTATCGCTTTCATGTTCACTATGCTTTTAAACCTCGCTGGGAAAGAGATTTTTTTTGGTTGAAAAATATACGCCATATAAGACCTCACAAACCCATGAAACAATCCATGAAATGTACATTAACCAAGCAACCCACTGGCCAAAGCCTCCAGATCTCCCAGAGTCTCGATAGGCTTGACAGAAGCCTGGCTCTTCTTGCTTTTGGGCTTGTCGTCGTCGCTGTCCGGCTCGGCAAAAGAAACACGCTGCTTCTTGCTGGGCCGGGACTCGTCGCGCTCGGAAGCAGAGTCTGAATCGGAGCCAGGGATCTCGAAAGGCACATGAGGGAGATGCGAGAGACCGCCTTCCTCCTCCGACATATCGGCCTCGGCCTCGGCACGCTCGCGCGCCTTGCGCTTCTCCTTCTTCTCGCGGCGCTTCTCGCGCATAACCTCCTTGTCCTCGATATCGGCCTGGCGTGTGCGCTCCGTCTCGCCCTCGAGGAACTTCTCGCGCTGGGCGTTGGCGTCGCCGCGGGCCTTGAACGCGTCTTCGTCTTCCATTTCGTACATCTCGTGGGCGTTGCCCTCGTCGTCGTAGACCAATTTTGTACCCTTGCCCTTGAACTTGAGGAGCTTCTTCTTCGACTTGAGCAGTTTCTCGCGTCGCTTCGAGTCGATGAGTAGTGGGTCCTGGCCGTCCAAGTGGACCATCTTGACGTCCTTGGCGTCTTTGGTTTTTGACTCGGCATCGGAATCCTCCGATCCAGAAGAATCGCTGTCCTCGCCGAGCTCCGCGTCGCCTGCGGCAAAGCGGCGCTTGACTGAGAGGAAGTCGGCATCCTCGTCGGCCTCGTCATCGATCTCTGCGCCGGCATCCTTGGGAGCATCAGTAGCCACCATCGTGCCATCGTCGTTAATGAGCTTGGAGTAGTGCTCTGCCAGCACACCCTGGTTGCGTCGCTCGAACATACGGTCGTACCGTGTCCGCACCTCCTTCTCATCCTTCTTCTTCTCTGTTTCCGAGTCATCATCGCCGGACATGTGTGCCATTCTCCAGGATTCGTTCTTGCGCTCCTTCGCATTGTCACCCTTGATAAACTTAATACGCGGAGCTCCGGGAAGACCCAGACTGGCTGCGTACTCTTCCAACGGAAGTTCCTTGATCTTAAAAGTTTCCTTGTCCTTTTGCACGTAAATGGACTTGACGTAGGAGATGAAAGCCTTCTGGCCAAGATACTTCAGCTCTGGATCCTTGAAGCACATGTTTTGCAGCTGATTCTTCACACTCTGCTGCTTGTTCGATTTGATGTTGATCTTCTCAATGGGTACCTTCTTGTGCTCAAGCTGCTTAAGGAATCCCTTCTCCTCACTAGGGTCTAGGAATAGCACAGCACGACCAACACGCTCGTAACGGGCCGTTCGTCCAACACGATGAATGTAGGTATCGGCGTCTTCGGGGCAGTCCATCTGGATAACCCAATCAACAGCGGGGAAATCCAGACCACGAGCAACAACATCAGTAGCGAAAAGAACAGCGTGTTGGGCTTGAGAGAATTTCGTAGTGATATCCAGTCGTCCTCCCTGTTTCTGTCGCCCGTGAAGATGGAGCAGAGAAATACCAGGCTGCAATTGTCTTAGTGATTCGTACACGTAGCGAACTTGTTTGCCCGATGACAAGAAGACCACTGTCTTAGATTTGAGGTTGCTGCGAATGAAACTCCAAAGGGTATCAAGCTTCTGCGGGAGTGGAGTAACTGTGTAGTGTTGTTGGAGGGTTGAGGGAGTGGCGGAGGCGGCTGCTTCGTGGACTGAGACATATTCGGGTTCCTGCAGACTCAAACGAGCCAAATCACCGACCTTCTTGGTCTGTGTGGCACTGAATAGCATAGTCTGGCGCTGTTTGGGGAGATGGTCGAGGATAGCATCCACGGTCTTCTGGAAACCCATATCCATGATACGATCGGCTTCGTCCAGCACCAGCATCTGCAGGTTATTGGTCTCAAACATAGCCGTCTGATCCAAATGTTGCAGCATGCGACCGGGTGTGCAAACCAGGATGTTCATACGCCCCAGACGATCTTGTTCCTCGCGCAGACTCTTTCCGCCGATAATCAATCCAGCAGAGAAATTGTGATATCTTCCGATTTTCCGAAGCACCTCAAAGATTTGAATCGCTAGTTCACGTGTAGGTGAAAGAACGAGTGCGCCGAGACCATCCAACTCGGTCCACTTCTTGCGATAGAGATTCTCGAGAATGGGTACTAGAAAGGCGAGGGTCTTTCCGCTACCGGTTTTGGCGGCACCAAGGATATCGCGTCCTTTGAATGCATGGTTAATAGCACGCGATTGAATGTCGGTAAGGGTTTTGAAATGAGAAGCTGAAAGACCCTTGGCTGTTGGTTCGGAGAGTGGGAGATCGGAGAAGTTTTTGACGGGAGCTTTGAGATCGAGGTCCTCGACCTGTTTGATGAGGGTAGCTAAGCTATCCTCACCACGCTTTCTTTTCAAGACCCGGCCTGTGTCCTGGTGAGTCTTTGACTTCCCTTTAACTGCTCGCGGCGCCATGATGTGGTTTGAGTTGATTCTTGAAAGTTAGCGGGCGGTGAAAACCTCTTTTTTTTCATCTTGGGAGCGAAAAACGAAGGCGGTAGGTAAAGCGGTGAGGAACTAACCAGGTACATTACATATGAGATCTATAGATCTTTTGATGTCTTCAGCTTATTGGTAGTCCTATCTTGGATGGAATATTGGATATTCTTTTGGGCCCACCACATATGTTCTAACAAATTCTCATCAATGGGAGATATAAGCGGACAACTATTGTTATGTGTTCCTAACTACGAGCTTAACCCTCCGCGACGCGATGTTGCGCTGACTCAGCGGCTGATAAGCCCGCAGCCTTATCCGTGGATCTTATTTGAGGTCTCAATCTCATGAGCGCCAGGAACGTTTCTAAGAATTCGTAGAAGGCAATATGTCGGATGACGATCAGGATTTCCTCGACTCTCTAGAAAAAGAGGCCACCGAGTATAACAAGGTATGCCCCCCTCTACAAGGTATACATCTATACTTAGACTGACACGCGACACAGGATGTCGAGATCGACCGCATTCGCAAGGCATTCAGCCTCGATTCGTAAGTCCAACATTCCGAAAGCTCTGCAATAGCCTACCGCCCATCTATATCCTCTACGGATATTAACCCATTACAGTTACGCCGTCCTGGACCTCCAACCCGGTGTTACGGAAAAAGACATCAAAGTCCAATACCGCAAGATCTCGCTTCTGATTCACCCCGATAAAACCAAGAACCCGGCTGCTCCAGATGCCTTCGATCGACTTAAGAAAGCACAGACAGCTCTCCTAGACGAGAAGCAACGCGAATACCTGGACGAATGTATCTCCGACGCACGCCGCCTATTGATTCGCGAACACAAGTACACACTCGACTCCCCCGAGCTGAAGACCGAAGAGTTCAAGGTCGAGTGGCGGAAGAAGACGGTCCAAGTTCTATTGGAAGAAGAAGCACGACGCCGGCGACAACTCAAGGCGCGCTTGCAGGAGGAAGGTCGTGAGCAACGGAAGGAAGAGGAAGAGCTTGAGGCACGCAAGCGGAAGCGTGACAATGACAAGAAGTGGGAGGATACGCGAGAAGAGCGCATTGGTAGCTGGCGAGATTTCCAGAAAGGGCGCAAACCTGGTGGTGATGAGAAGAAGAAGAAGAAAAAGATGAAGGTATTGGGCTGATTTGACGTTCTTTTTTTTTCTCTTTCATTCTTCTTCTGAGCGTTGCTGGCGTTTGGGGACCTACTCGTATGAATTGTCACGGCCACGGCCGCAATCAAAGCATTTTTCAAGGTGCATTCAGTAAATTGTATTAAGAATTCTACATAAGCATGTGTATTTAAATCCACGAGAATCTACCGAGTTCCACAACTGCGGGGAGACGCGGGGGTTCCGAGAAGTTTCCAATTATGTTATATCTGGCGAGGTTGAACTGTCTAGGTATATAGATATATCTACATACATATGCACACACATGCACACATATACTTGAACTTGGCATGCGTGATATCCCCGCAGTGGATTAAGTTGTGTCTCTCCGAGAAACCCACACCCCGCCCCGAAACCTCACTCTGTCAACCTCACCCCAACACAAGCATGACTGAACCGACAGCAAAGAATGCGCCTTACCGGCCGCAAGATCATCTCCAGCCATTCCCACCACTGTCACCAGAAACATCCCAACCATTGAAACCATCAACCCTCTCCAATCAAGAAGCCGAGCCGAACCAGAATGGAACAGCCCACACCAACACCCAACCCCCCAATGACTCAACCAACGACGAAACAATCCCCCCTCTCCCAACCGTGATTGCACGAATCCACGCCCGCGTACAAGCCTTCCTAAATGAATCCCACGCCCCGGACACGTTGCTAGCCTCTGTGCAGCGACAAACGAGCATCTCGCTAGAAGTAGTCAGTACCGCGCTGCAGCGATACAAACTCTCGGAACTATCCGTCTCCTATAATGGCGGCAAGGACTGTCTGGTCCTGCTAATTCTGTTCCTGGCCGGTTTGCACCCAACCCGCGCCCACAATGACTCACACCCCACCACCGCAAACGCAAATGATACAACCCCCTCCCCCGCAGACCTCGAAGCCGAGGCCCAAATAGCCACTGCGACGGTCATCCCGGCGATCTATGCGCTCCCGCCTGATCCCTTCGATGCAGTCGAAGACTTCGTCGTCTCTTCTGCTGAAGCTTATCATCTCGCTATCACGAAGTACACGACTGCGCCACCGGATTCGACGCTCCGATCGAGTTTTGAGGATTATCTGACGCGTCACCCTGGGATTCGCGCGATATTTGTTGGTACACGGCGGACGGATCCTCACGGTGCGCAGCTAACGCACTTTGATCGGACGGATGGCGGCTGGCCAGATTTTGTTCGTGTGCATCCCGTGATTGATTGGCATTATGCGGAGATTTGGGCGTTCATTCGGCATCTGGGTCTGAAGTATTGTTCGCTCTATGATGAGGGATATACTAGTCTTGGTGGCACATCTGATACCCATCCTAATCCGAGATTGCAGACTGGGGCTCAGGCTAATGGACAGTATCTTCCTGCTTATCAGCTCACGGAGGACCTAGAGGAGAGACTTGGGCGCAATTGATTTGAATAGTGTGGATTGTCTTACTTGTGTATAGATTGGGATTCGTATCTCGTTGGCCTTTGCGGATAGATTGCTTTGCACGTTACAGTTGTGCTCACTCACCTTGGATCTTGAACATGGACATTTACAAGGAGTGGTTTTGGTCTTGAATAATATCATATTAGACTGCGCAGCCTATTAAGGTGCGATAGCGTTCTTTGAACGAAGTCTTGAAACATGCTTCTTGTCTGTCACATATGCTGAAAACATGCAAAGTCCATATAACTGCGAAATAAAAAGAGCATTTCTCGTCCTCCCATCAAACTCCATAATGATATCGTGCAGAGTCGTCTAAAAATGCCGTGAATCGCCGAAAACAGAAAAAGAACCGAATATCATATCGTGGATCATGAATCGTGAATCGTGGAACAGTCATAAAAGAAATGCAAGGCAGAGCCATACATCGTCAATACATTCTGCGAATGGTAACAGATGCTGCGTATTTGAATATTCGAGAGCACCCTGGAGCGGTGCTGATCATCTTATCCCGTGTGGATAAGATGCTGTAAAGCATTCCATGCAAATACAGATATGCGCGAGAGCATTTTACACAACAGGTTTAAGTGCACGAGCGAGCCGGGGAGAGAATGATCATAGGAGAAGAAGAAGCGGGGGATACAGATTCCGCTCTGATATTCTCTTTGCGGGACCCCATAGTCGGCGAGTCCGGCATGACAGTCTTGGAAGAACCACCAGAGAGATCAGTGTAAGAGCGACGGCTAAGTGACAAGGCTCGACTGCGATAGGCGGGCGTGTGGTCAAGAGCGTTGAGGCTCCGAGTCGACAAGGAACTGCTTCGTGCACTGCTGGAAGGATTTTTCATGTGTGGGTGGCTATGAGATCAATTAGATGGGTTGAATTACGGCGCAATGTGAGTATTCGGCACATACCAAGGAGAGATGGAGGTTGCCGGGGTCCAGTTAGAGCCCACTCCAGCTGGAGAGGTGTAGCTAACTTGAGAGTTTGGGGTAAGATGAGAGCCACGTTTCATCCCTGGGGATGGAGTAGATCCCTGAACCACTTCAACCGAGTAGTTGTACTCTCCAGCCCGGTAAGCACGACGTTCGTTGCTCTGTTGCTTCAGAATCTTTTGGGCCTTGGTATCAGCAAAACGCAGAAGCAGCTTCACCCCGTCGTCCTTGGTGACATTGTGAAATTCAATCAAGACTTTCTCGGCAACATCACGGTTTTCGAAGCTATAAATGAAGTTTCAGCCTTCAGTCGGAACAAGCCATGGGTCAAGCAATTTGGGCAATGTTACCGTGCGAAGCCCACTTCCTTGCTCACACCTGTTTTCTCGTCGCGACTAATTTTCTCCGAAACAACACGCCACGGCTCGAAATGACGACGTAGGTCCTAACAAGCTTATTAGAATTTAATTAGACAGGCCAAGGGTGGGGGTTGTATAACTCACAGCTTCAGTCCAATCGATTGGAATGTTGGTGCAGTATATATTGGTAGAAGCCCTGTCCTCTAGATCCTTTAGGCGAGAGTTGCGAGATTTCTGGGCGAAGCTAGCTTGGTAGCCGAGGTAAAAGAAACCGCGAATGCAGTTCTCGCAGGATTCGAAGCTGTAATACTGCACAAAACCGAATCTGCAAAAGAATCAGAATAAACCATCGGGAAGAAGTTTCGTGGTGTAGGTACCCTTTGCAGAGACTAGTGTCCAGGTCCAGGATCGCCTTGCAACGCTCAATCTTTCCGAAACGGGCTGCATACGCATGCAACATCTCATCGGTGGTCTCGGGCAAGAATCCTCTGATGTAGACATTGGTTATACCCTCACGGTTCTCCAGACATTTAGCGAGTGTTAACTCAGACGGGTTAGTCCACATAGCAGGCACCGCACGTGGAATAGCAGGCTCTTGTTGAGTCAGAGCCTCCAGGTCTTGAACTACGTATCCGTTCGGAGTCTTCATCATCTGAAGGGGAAGCGAGAGCGACCCAAGCTGCGAGGGAACCATACCTCCATAAGAGTAACCAGACATGGAACCACCATCCATGCCAGAAACAAGGGCCGAGGGATAGTAGTGGATTTGACCAGTGTTCTCCGCCTGAACTCCCTTCTGGCCATCGGAAATATTCCATGTAGCTTGTTTGTTGGTTGTCCCATCATTCATGTCGTAGTTCATCATGTAGGGCCACGACGAATATCCACCAGCCACCACAGGGTTGACGTTAGGATAAACTCCCGTTGGAAGATAAGAGAACTGACCTATCTGATCATTCTGACCAGAGACACCGTTGGGAACAAAGGAAGAGACGGTCGGAACGCCGTTGAAAACGGTGGAATTAGGAACCAGGATGAATGGGCTGTTGTATGCACGATTCGTATTCGACCAATCCATGTTCGTGTTCACTTGAACGGGCGCAGTGCCCTTTGGGCCGTTGAACTTGGGACGAGGGTTCTGCAGATTCAATCCTCTGAAAAGATTGGTCAGGCCTGCAACGCTGCTATCACTGGAGCTCGGATTGGTGGATTGCTGGTACCTGGGGCCATAGGGGGTACAAGGCTCATTTTGGTGGTAGTGTCCAGACTGGGAGCTTGATGTCTGACCAGAGCCAGAGCCAGAGGAGCTCATGTGCTGGGAGCCCTGGGCATGCATCATGAAGGGCGTACTCTAGAGATCGATTTCGTCAGCTAGCTCTTCGGATTTGACAGACAGGCAAAAGACAAGGGCGTTATGGACAGTCCCTTTGGCCTCCATTTGGCAAAATGCCCAATGAAATGGGCTCAATACAATGAAACTCACCAGGGCGAGCTCCTGCACCAAATTATATAGGCAGTTCTGACAAGAAGGTCTGGCTGCTGTTCAAGCATGCCAAGGTCAGCCAAAACGGAGACTGGGGGTTTAGTCGAACATGACCAAAATTGAGGGGGTGACTTACCTGTTGTCGAGGATGCAGCCGGCCGTCTGTTCTCTCAGGTTGCGAGGCGTCTGATGATAACTCGAAGCGAAGACGAGGTACGTGGGGATGCGGTATACGGCAACGAAAGCCTGGACGGTCCTGGAATCGAAGATGGGAAGAATGGGCCAGGACGAAACCGATGGCAAAAGAAATGGGGGTATAGGGGGATAGAATGGGGATGGATGGGGATGGAAAGATGAGATGGAGGAAAACAATCAAGAAGAAAGAATGGCAGACCTTTTAAGGAAAGAGCGTAACAATAGGAAGAGAAGGAGCTGTGGGAGAGACTTGGGTGTGTTTTGGGGGGAAAGGGAAAGGGAAGTCACGGGGAGAGACAATTATATAGTGTACCTAGATACTATACAATATCAACCGCTGATATTGGAATATTGTCTATGCTCTGAAGACATAGGAACACAAATTGGAAACACTAGACTTGATTCCATCAGAAGGAGAATGCTAAATTGCAATTTTATGTCTTGAAATCCACATCTATGAGAAAGAGCAGTAGGTACGGAGTTGAGGGAGATATTCAAAGAAAGGAAAGTACTCAGGGGACTTCACTCCAAAGGGAAAGAACTTATTGAGATTTCTCCTGCAACCACTTGTAAACCACAGAGAAATCCTTACCACGGTGCTCCTCCTCAACAGCCTTATACACCTCGCGAGCCTGGGCACCCAAGGCGAGAGGAGTATTAGACTGCTCGGCAGCCGCAAGAGCCAAGCGGAGATCCTTGTGCATGAGACTCACTCCAAATCCGCCCTCATAGCCACGCGATGCGGGGGCTGTTTCAACGACACCAGGAACGGGATTGTTAACCTCAGAGGGCCAGCAACGACCAGTAGATGAATTGATCATTTCTGCTAAGGCCTTGGGCTCGAGCCCCCACCGAACACCGAGGTTCATAGCCTCGGCAGTGGCGATATTATTCAGGGCCAAAATGTAGTTGTTGGCGAGTTTCCCGGACACGCCAGCACCAGGCTCACCAAGATGCCAGGCCTTCTTGCCCATGAACGCGAGCACACCACGGATACGGTCAAGAAGTTCGTCTGACTTTGAGGAAGCGCCGAACATGAATGACAGCGTTCCCGCGCGAGCACCAACCACACCTCCTGATACAGGGGCGTCCACGAAGCGGCCGGTTTGTGTGGTGTGGATTGCGTTTGCGATATCCTTGGATGTGACGGGGTCAATGGTAGATGCGTCGATGAAAAGACGCTCCTGCTCGAGCGGTGGCAGCGGCCCATGTTTAAGGATAGAGTGGAACACGTCAATGACATGCTGAGACTCCGGGAGACTGGTAACCATGACTATCTAAACGGCAGACAGAAACTAAGCACAGTCCATGCAGAAAACCACTAGCACAACCGCAGGCTAGACCCTTACAGTAGATAACCACTTACCGATTTCTCGGCGACCTCGCGCGCACTCTGAGCGATCTCGACTTGACTTTCATTAACGCCGGCACCATTGCTTTGTGCGGTCTCCTGTGCCTCTGCAACGAATTTTTTCATAACATCTTCATTGACATCGCGCACAATCAAGGTATCAGATGCGGGAATCTTGGCGCGCAGGTTTTTGGCCATGTGGTAACCTAGAGTATTTAGCAAATGCAATACAAACAACCCACGGTCCGTCGTATAGCCGAGGTTGTATATCCGAGGTCCTCGCTGTAGATCTCACAACATACCCATTTGCCCCAGTCCGACAAAGCCCCACGTCGCGTCAAGGTGCATAGTTGTGGAGAAAGCTCGGGCCTTGCTGGACGGCCAGCGTCGGGGATCCACTGCGGACGCATGGAAGCAAGTCGCCCTCCTTGGGAGGGATATAACCGTTCGGAGACTCATTTTTTGATAAAAAGTGAAGTGCTGTCTGATTTTGAGAAGAAAAGGTAAGTGATAAGTGTTAATATGTGTAGACAATGAGGGTTGATGGGTCAACAATGCCGAGACCAAGGGGGCAGAGTAAATGTTTGATTGTTTGAATCCAGGAAAGCTGAAATGGGGAGAATGGGGTATTTAAAAGAGCTAGGATGCACCATGCCAGCTCC